GTATAGAGATAATTTTAGTTTACAGTCGACGTTTCGATTTTGTGTTGCAGATTTGAACGAGTGTGAGCTGGGGGTCTCTGATTGTCATACGCATGCAACATGCGTGGACACACCATCTCTGTACGACTGTGTCTGCAATGACGGTTTCACCGGAAACGGAAGAGAATGCCAAGGTAAGCCCACCTGGTTTATACAAGCAGAACACATCTTTGTAAACTGCTATGAACATTGCACACATCGTGTACAGAATGTGCAATATTAGGTTTTATAACAGTTTTATTTTGTAGATTATATTAATTAAATATTTATTAAGAAATAATTATGAATGAAAATAACTTGAAAACACATGTATCTCTTTTCATGACAACCTCAGTTGAGCACTGAATGAACAACACTTCTTTTAACCATTTGTTTTTCAAATTATGATGAGAGAATAATATGGATACTTATTGTATGTTGATTCTAAAATCATATAAGAAAATTACTGAAATGCTAATAATTCGAAATTGGCCTCAAGAATACAGTATATTGACTTAAAAACGACAAAATATATTGGTAATTTCCCTCTTATAGACTTGGTGTGCATGCATTCAAATATAGTTAGTTAATATCAATTTCTTCAAATGTTGAGTAGTTAATACCTACTTTAAAATTACATTCAATGTAACCTACGGAATATGTGACCATTTATATGCACATTAAGCCATAGTCAGAGTGTTTTATATTAGTATCATTTGTATTTACTGTTGAACCTAATGTTCTGCAATAAGGTTCAGTAATATTTCCTAGTGTAGCCATATTTATTCAGATCTGTAGAAGTTCAAAAGTCTGTTTTCGTAATTGATAATAGCTAGCTATTAGCTATCGTTTAGCTGTCCAAATAATCTTAAAAAAGGTGCGAATATAATCTTATTGTATACTCGATTTCATGCTTCACATTCCAAATCTAAGCTTGTAAATCAACTTGAACTACCTGTGAAACTATCCATAGTTAATGAACAGCTTAAAACGATTCAAGATTACACTACTGAGATGTTACGTCACATGTATGCACTTTGACATCACCAATCATCTTGTAGTATGCCTATATGCGCAATGCATTATGGGTGTGACAAACGAAGTTCACACCCTTGGGCTTGTTATTGCAAATATATACAATGCATGTGAACAGAAATGCAAATATTGCACAAGTAATCATGTTCAGGGAAACGGGAACGTGTTCGAATAATTCTCAGATAACTAATATATTATCAGTTGTCTGAGATTAGTTTAAGGAAACTACTTCCGTGCCTCGCACCAGATTATTTTCATTACAATTATGATTATCATTATTCTGTTTACTATTAGTACTATAACTTGAACTTTTACGTCACGGCTAACAAAATATTGTTCAATCTACTCGATCCAGTAAATAAAATATATAACTATGATAATGATTTTTACAGATATTGACGAGTGTTTGGAAGCAGAGTGGTGCCCAACTATCGCCACTTGTGAAAACACCGAAGGATCATTTATTTGTCACTGCCCTGATGGTTACCTTGGCAACGGACGAGTCTGTGATGGTAATAATTTCAAACTTTTTTTTGTTTTTGTCTACATCTTGACCATGGACATTTTGCTAACTTTTGCGGATTTCTTTATAATTGCTTCAAAATAGACATGTATTCACAAATTACAAATCAACAATGTGTGTTTATTTCGCGCAAAACCGACGGAGATCGTAAAACCTTGAACTGGTAGCTTTTATCTGTTTTGGTGTATCTCTCGCGTAGTAAGCCAGCTGCGGTTCCGGGTGTAAACTGGGACATATTGCGACCATATTCCAGTATGCAAATCCCAGTCTGTGCTGATACATATGGCAAAATTACTTATTTCGGCAGTCAGAATGATTTTAAGCATTTTAGTTGTCCAAAATGTGGGGGACGATACGTTGCGGATATGGAAATGTAACGAAATATAGTATGCAAAATTATCTGCTACACAATCAGCACCAATCACCACAGAAGAACGACTTAATGAAAACTCAGAATTTATTCACTAACGGAAAACCCGCTGGCAATCCGGAGACTTACAACTCGATATCAACGATATAACACAAATTGGACGCGACAAAGGATGAAAACATCAACGCGTTAAAAGTTTTAAACTACAACGATGTCTCCAAAAAAACACCACTAAGTCTCGCTTATGAAAATTGATTTGTGAAGGAAGACCATCACAAAGAAACTAATTCCCCAAAAGAAACTAATTCATCAAAAAGAGTGGCTAGCTGTACAGGTATTGCACGCTGATATCTTGCGCACAAAACTGCCAGAATTTATCACACTTTGATACATGCTGTGAGAGTTATCTCACTGTGCGAGAATTTTACAGTACTTTCACATACAAAGCCAAGGGAAACATCATACTCTCGCGAAGTTTCGAATACTATCATACCGTGCGTGAGCGAGATTATGATAACTGTCACTGTGACGGTTATTACTTTGTGCAAGAAGTTGCGAATACTACCAAAATGTACGTGAGAGATGCTC